TCCTAGCTATAAGAATTGCTGAAGATAGGGGCGCCTGGGTGGCTCAGTTGGTTAAGCGACTGCCTTCGGCTCAGGTCATGATCCTGGAGTCCTGGGATCGAGTCCCGCATCGGGCTCCCCGCTCAGCGGGGAGTCTGCTTCTCCCTCTGACCCTCCTCTCTCTCATGCTCTCTGTCTCTCATTCTCTCTCTCTCAAATAAATAAATAAAATCTTAAAAAAAAAAGTTTAAAAAAAAAAAGAATTGCTGAAGATAATTCTTCTGTTTTTATTTTTACCTCCTCCTTCAGGCTTGATGCAAACCACTGTTTTTGGTAATGTAGCTTAGATTTTTAAGTTAAAGTACTGTTCTCTTTCCTGACTATTCTCCAACCTGAAAAATGAGGCAGGGTTAATGTCTGGGCATGACTTCTTGTTTCTAGTAGCAGGATCTGTTCCTCGGCCTGATATTTAGACTGCATTTCTGTTCAGTCTCTCCCCTTTTCCTTCACAGTGTCACTCTGCTCCATCCTCTACCATAATATTGTTGATCCAGCTTTGAATAGACTGTAACGTCTTAGCAGTTCTACACCTGGAATGGCTGACTTTCACAAATAATGAAAAGCTAGGAGATAAAAACAGTCATCATCGGACTGGTTGGTGACTTCATTTTAAACAAATGAGTTTAGATGCTAATTGCTGTGGCTCTTCTGATTAAAGCAAGAATCTTGGAGGAGATGACATCTTAGTTGCTGCTTGAGCAGTGGAAGAAGGAAGAGTAGATTGTAGGTTGTAGAGGATATTTGAGGCTTAGGATTCATTCTCATCTATGGATATCCCTTGAGGCATGGGGGATAAAAAATTTAGTTCCTGTTTAACTCCAAATGACTGGTATAGTGACAAATAATGCAAACGTTGAAAGAGAGATTGCTGAGGATTGAAGGAGTTGTAGATTTTGGTTGTTGCTGTTCTCACTGTACAAAGTCTTCATGTATTCTCTTGAGATCAGATTCTCTTGAGAATCTGGTTTATCATAACAAAGTTTCATTGAGTTTCTGGAATATACGGTGATTTCCTGTCTCTGGACCTTTGCACTTGCCATTTCTTCTGGCTGGGATAGTGTTAACTTGCTAATTCTTAATAATTCTTAGAATATAATCATGGGGTCCATAACTTTCAGAAAAGCCTACTGGATCCTTCAACACTGGCTTAAGTGTTTCTGTAACTCATAGTCCCTGTTCTTCCTACTCCTAGCCTTTGTTACGCCATGTTGTAAGTGCCTTCACCAGACCGTTCATGGAAGACAGGGACTGTGTATGTGGTAATGCCTGCTGGTCCAGGATATTTGTTGATTGAATGAATGAGTGGGATATGGTAGAGAGCAGACTTGATCATTACAGGTGAGGAGAAGAAGATGAACAAAGACAAGGTGTGTGGTAATGCATATAGCCAATTCGGAGGCAGTGGGTGGAACCATTTGATTAGAGTGTAATATTGAAAAGAGAGGCTGGAGCTTTGAATGCCACGTTAAGAAGTCCAGAGTTTATTAAATAAAATGGCCATTGAAGCTTTTAGAGATAAGAATAATAATAAATGTTCTTATAAATTTGGCTAAGTAAGATACCTGTGCATGGGAAATAATTTTTTCTAATTCTTGTGCTAAAATTTTTGTAATACTCTTAAATGGACTAAATATGTAACTGCCTATTTTATAAACTGTCTTTTAAGATTGCTCCAACATAATTTATACAGACACTTTTAGATTTGAATAAGTACTGTTGAATGAATTGAACAGCTCATTAAACTGTGCAGTTTGTTTTTCTTATAAACCTATGTAAACTATGACAATTAAAAAGTATAATTCAACTAAGGCAGTAATCTAACATATGTGTAGGGGTTTCCTTCTTACTTGTAGCTTAAAGGAGAATAAATGCTTACAGATGTGACTTTTTTTTCTCTAGTCTCTCCAGAGGCAGTTGGATTTTTGTCAGCTGTTGGGGTGTTTATTATCTTGATGCTGCTCCTTTTTCTCTATATTAATAAGAAGTTCTGTTTTGAAAATGTTGGCGGGTTTCCAGATCTTGGTTCAGGATACAGTACAAGGAAGAACTCACAAGATAAAATTTGTAAGTATCATCACTGCTTTTATTTGTTCTTTGTATCTATACCGTTCTGTTATTTTATTTTTTTAAACATAATATGGTAAGGTTGGTTTTGACATACTGTAAACTAACATTCGAGCCACTTTTCTGTGAGAGTAAAAAAAAAAATCTATTAAGTAAATTATGTTCAATTATCTTTCTGTTCACAAATTGCAAATATATCGCATAAAGATGAATTGCATACTATCAGAAAATGCCATTTTTATTTTTCATATATAAGGTGTGCTTCTGAGCCTGTAATATGAGTAGATATGCTTTAAGAAGGAAGTATCTTTCTTCTCTATATAGCTTAAATCATACTGTCTTTTTTTCCCATATTCCCATAGAAGGCTTTTTGAAAGTATTCACCCTTTTTCTTTACCTGCTGTTGAATTCTCAGCTGATGGATAATTTTATTGTTTGGAGAAAGTAGTTTTCTCTATTAACTTAGTGTATAGATAAAGTCTGCTTATAAAAATTAGTGTTCCTCTCCCTCCCTTGGTACCATAGGCATGATATCACTTTATATCACTTACTACTACTACGTATTAAGAGAGATGAGGACTGTAATCTTGTTCTTTCTTTCATGAAAAGTATTCTGTGGAGGTTTTTTTTTTTTTATATTATTATAAGAGTTTTTTATTTGCTGTTTCCAAAGACTGGCTTGTATAAGTGATAGCAGAAGCGAGTTGAGAATTATAAAAGCAAGGTGTTAATTTAGAACAGTATTGCAGAGCATTAGCAGAAAAACCTTGCTCTTTTTTTTTTTTTTTAAAGATTTTATTTATTTATTCATGAGAGACAGAGAGAGAGAGAGGCAGAGGGAGAAGCAGGCTCCCAAGGAGCAGGGAGCCCGATGCGGGACTTGATCCCAGGACCCTGAGATCATGACCTGAGCCGAAGGCAGATGCTTAACTATCTGAGCCACCCAGGCGCCCAAAACCTTGCTCTTCTTGTCTGTGTACTGTGTTGGAGAGAGATTTTTCTCTTACCCTTGGTAACTTAAAAAGTGATAGCATTATTGTTTATAAAAAATCTATTGGTTATTGAATTACATCTGTGACTTCTGCATCAGGAAAGTGTAGTACTTTTGTGAGTTTGATTTAAGTTTATTCATGAGAGACAGAACGAGAGAGAAAGGCAGAGGGAGAAGCAGACTCCCAAGGAGCAGGGAGCCTGATGCGGGACTCGATCCCAGGACCCTGAGATCATGACCTGAGCCGAAGGCAGACGCTTAACCATCTGAGCCACCCAGGCGCCCCCTGATTTAAGTTTAACGTTTCTCATACTTCAGTCTTGCTTCTTGATCATTTGTGTAGAGTTGAACTGGTTAAAGATATCTCTCTGGGCAGCCTCCAGGAATCCCCTGGTTCAGCATTTCTGGTTTTTCTCTGGTCTAATGACCCCTTTACACTCTTAAAAGTTATTGAAGACCCCAAAGAGCTTTTTTTTTTTTTTTTTTTTTTTTTTATTTGAGAGAGAGAGAATGAGAGACAGAGAGCATGAGAGGGAGGAGGGTCAGAGGGAGAAGCAGACTCCCTGCCGAGCAGGGAGCCCGATGCGGGACTCGATCCTGGGACTCCAGGATCATGACCTGAGCCGAAAGCAGCCGCTTAACCAACTGAGCCACCCAGGCGCCCCCCCAAAGAGCTTTTTTTATGTGAGTTGTATCTATTGATATGTACCATATTAGAAGTTAAAACTGAGAGAATTTAAAAATATTCCTATCAACTTATTTGTTTTAAAAAAAAAAAAAAAACCAATAACTTGTTGTGATGAGCACTGGGTGTTATTTGTAAGTGATGAATCACTAAAATTCTACTCCTGAAACCAATAGTACCCTATATGTTAACTAACTAGAATTTAAATAAGAACTTAGAATGAAAAAACCCCACAAAAAACCCAATAAGCCTATTACATACATGTTAAATATAAGTAACATTTTTTAACTTAAAAAACTATGTATTTTTTTACTCCCCCCCGCAAAATGGTGAGAGAAGTGCCATTGTTTTATATTTTTTGCAAATCCCTTTAATAACTGGCGAAGAAGAACCAGCTGTTATTCTCATGTCTCCTTCTGCATTCAATCTGCCATGTCGCCTCTGGAAAACTCCAGTGTTCATTTATGAGCAAATGAAAGTGAAAAAGTTAAATATCCCCTCACTGTTATTATGAAAATAGTTTTGACCTTGAGGATCCTTTGGAAAGGTTTTGGGAACCGTCTTACTTTTTCTGAGCCTTGTTTTTTTTTTTTTTTTTTTTCACTTATTAAATAGGAATAATAATATTTTCCTCCTAGAGTTATTGTGAGATCGGGTATGATAAAACTTGTAAATCACGATGCCTTGCATCTAGTAGCCACTCTGCAGGTGTTCACCCTCTGCTCTTTTTTCTATCCTGACCTCTGTGCAAATTGCTTATTTTCCCCTTAGTAGGTGTCTTAATTTGAAATGATATTGGTAGTTTGTTAATAATATAGGGTAGTTACCCTACATAGACTGTTAGTAAATAAACCAGAAGTTCATAATAAAAATCCTTTTTATACTTCTTCTTGCAGGTATAGAATAAAAAACCAATAGTATTTGAGGGGAAAATATTGTCTTGCTGCTGTTATGATAGCTATGGAGTGGGAAAAAATGTCATTACATTTAAACCAAGTGGTTTGATTTTTTTTTTTTTTTTTGGAAGAGTCTTTGCTTCGACGTATTTCTTTCAATGCATAATGCATTTACAGAAAGATTAAAAGCCACAATGCAAAATAATAATACCAGGCTCATGAGTAACAACATTTAAGTACATTTTAAATTCAAATTCCTAAGTGGTTGATATTTTGAGAAGAGAAAATTCCATTATTGCATCTGTTAGGAATAAGGAATTAGAAAATGGCATTTTTCAAAACTTTCCAGCAGAATCTGCCTTCAGTGTCTTCTCTGGTGGACACAATCAGTAATGCTGTAGAAGATTTAACCACTGCTGTGGGGGAAGTCAGCTACGCTTTCACTGACTCAGTTGCTGAACAGGTAACAAGTATGATAAATGGCTTTCGCCCAGAAGAAGAAAGCTGTGCAGTAGCAGAAGCTGTAGTAGCTACTTCTAAACAAACAAACGCCGTGTCACCAGAAGTCTCCAAAGACACTACTTGTCAGAAAACACAGTCCAGTGTAGAGCACAGAGCAAATCGAATCAGTTGTCACAATACTTCAGTTTCACAAAAGCAAGATCACGGAATGAATGAAGAAAGAGTATTCAAACATATTAATGATAGGCAACGGACTCTATCAAAATATCAAGAAAGCAGTAATGTCGGTGGTGATTCTTCTTTGAAAGCTCACCTGAGTGACGGTGAGATATCATTTATCAAGCAGAATGCAAGGGCTGGATCTGCTTGTCAAGAACTTGAACATACTGACAGATGTAAAAAAGTTGGATTAGGAATGCCCGATAATGGTAAGAATGATTTAAAGGAGGTAAGATATCAAGAAATGAAAGAAAATCATTTAAAGAAAGCTGAAAAACATATTAAAAGTAAAGGATCCAGAGGGAATGAGTGGTCAGGAAATGAGTGTTCTCCAAAAGATATTTTGGCAAGCAACAGACATATGATACAGAAACCCATTATGAAAGAAGACAATCATCCAGCACCAACAGCTAATTCTAAGGATAAATTACATGGAAAAATCAAAGAACAGAAAAATCCAACAACATCCTACAAAGTGAAAGGAGACATAAAAACAAAGAAAACTGAAGCCATTTCTGCCCAGAAAGGAACAGCAAAGAGTAAAGATGAAAAATATTCTAAGATAATACCAGGAAAAGGTGAGGTCTCCTACTGTGGGTTTGAGTGATAAACTTTTCTCTTGATTTTTTAAATTAAGAAAACATCCAAATTTCCAAACTTTCCTATACATGTCTATATGTCTAATTTAAGATTTTCTTGAATCCTCTTACTGGGAGACAATTTTAAGGTCATTCATTTTTTTTTCTGACCATCATTTTGAAAGCATTCATGTTCTTTGTACACTGCTAAATTAAGTATTGTCCCTGGTCCCTGCATTATTTGGCTAATTTTTCTTAATGATTGTTTATTAGACAACCAGAGACTCCATAGCTTTAAGTAGTGTGCATTCTCTAGTTGGAGTATATTTAGTGTGCTAAAGTTGAATTTTAAAATTTTATATTTTTGTAACTAACTCCTGAGACCTTTATACTATGTTGCCCTTCGAGTCTATCCCAATAAGAATCTGTATCAAGTGTTTTATATTTTTCCTTTAGAGCAATAGAGTTTTTTTAATTTTATTTATTTTTAAAAATTTTATTTATTCACTTGAGAGAGTGTGAGAGTGTGAGCAGGGGGAGGAGCAGAGGGAGAGGACCAAGCAGACTCTGTGCTGAGCTCAGAGCCCGATGAGGGGCTCCATCCCCTGACCCTGAGATCATGATCTGAACTGAAATCAAGAGTCAGATGCTGAACTCACTGAGCCACCCAGGTGCCCCTAGAGTTTATTTTATTGAATAGCATGCTTCAGGATATGTGCCTATTCACTTAGCCACATATTAAGAATTTTATATGAGTTCTGTGTTTACAATGAGTATACGTGAACAATCTATTATTTTTTATGAGTTCTCTATGTAGAATTAAGATTCCAACTAATCATTTATAGTTTTTAACTACAGTATTTGTGACAATTTTCAAAACAATGAGCCGACAGTTATTTGGGTTGGTTGCAGAATTGCTTTGTATGGCTAGTGATTACTTCTGTTAATCCCTTAGTCATTTCCATTTGTTGCTGATCTGATCACAAGGCCAAAAGTACACTGGCTTTTATTTAAAAAAAAAAAAAAAAAAAAATATATATATATACATATATATATCTGACATTTTTCTCTAAATTTAGATTCTCATAAAAATAACAAAAATCTGAGTGGCGGCAGAAATGAGGAAGACTTTCAGTTCTTCGTGAATTCATACATAATCAAGATCTGCTATTTATCAATTATATGAATGATTTTTAAGTGATATCATAGAGGCTGATCCAGGATGGATAGACTAATTAAAAAGGAAAGCCAGTTTTTGGAAATATGGCCATTTTGGAGTCTGTTCTGCTAGGAGTTTTTTAATTATCCAAATCAGTAGTTTTGGGTAGCCATAGTTTAGTTTTGTTAGCCTTATTATTTGAAGTAGCAAAAATAAACAAAATAGAATACTTATGTTATTCAGAAAATAACAGAATAGGCAGTAGTAATAAAAGCTGCACACATAGCAGTATAGAGTTAATTTTGTTTTGATTTGTTTTCATTCAGAATCATGCTGGTCGCTGGAAAACCCAAGTATCTCTCAGATATTCTAGATTATAGTCAGTACTAAACGTAAACATATTATGTTCTAAAAATCGTTTGAAAATCATTTGACCCATAGACTACTTCTTCTTATAGCTGAATTCTAATATTATTCATTAATAGTAATATCAGTATTACTAGTACCTGTGTTCTAGGTTCGTTCATAGACCTTATAGGATTTAGAAAGAGAAGGAAGAGTTTCCTTCTATATTTCTGAATGCAGGACTGCTGTAGGTAATATTTTGTGATAGGTGAAGTATGACGGCAGAATTTCTCAGAGCTCTCCTGCTGCCTTAGAGACCATCACCATGGTAGCCCACAAAATGCTACAGCTCTCAACTGGGTGTCAGAAGGCCCAGGTTCTAGACCAGATCCGCTATCACCTCAGCACTGTGTAACGGGACTTTCTGCAATGATGGAAAAATTCCATGTAGTAACCACTAGCCACACGCACGTATTAAGCACTTGAAATGTGGCCAGTAGCACCGGGGAAACTGGGTTTTAAATTATTTTATTATTTGTTTATTGGTGCAAAAAGGTGGTTTTATTAAAGCACGCGACAGGACCCGTGTGCAGAAAGAGCTGCTGATTATATACTTGGGAGTTGGGGGAGGTAAGGAAAAGGAGATTTTCAGAAGAACTTTCATAAATTATTTTATTTTGAATCAAATAGCTGCATGTGGCTAGTGACTACGTATTGGGCCGTGCAGAATATGATACAGGTCATAGTTTTACCCTTTCATGGCTTTCTCTTACTGAATTAAAAGGGAGGACTTAGACTAGTGACATCCAAGCTCCCTTCCGTCTGACTCTAAACGTACCATTCCTCTACCATATTTTTAAATTACTTTTTCTGTGTCTCCCCTCCTGAATGTCAAACCTTGATTCCTTTTGTGCAGATGATCTCAAATGTTTATAAAGAGAAAAATATCTCGACTGACCTAATAAATTCTACCGGCTGTGGTCTCTTTATCTTTCCAGAGTTGTTTTATTTTTCTGAGAAGGCTCATCTTAGGTTAAATGAACCTCAACATTAGTGCAGTTTCAAAATTTTTACTTTTAAAAAAGTGGTAACAGCTAGTTATTATTATACTAGTTTGCTCTTATTTTAAGAATAATGCAAGTTTTATATGTCCTAAAAATTTTATTTGAAATTTAGTTATACTTTAGTAAAATTTTCTTAGTAATTCTCCTTTTCACAGAAAATAAGTGTATCCTTCCACATATTTTTGTATGTGTATATGAACATACACTGCATATGTGTGTGTGTTTAAATAAGAACATAGGTATGCCTTCTGTTTTATAACCTTCTCTTTTCTCTTAACATGATGTTGTAGTAGTTATTCCCTGTGAGTACCTGTGAGTTCACCTTCTCATTTGTAGTAACTGCATACTGTATCATTGCATAAATATATCACAACGTACTTAACCAAGGCCCAGTGATGGACGTTTAGATTATATTTTATTTTTGTTTTCTGTTGCTGTTTAACACAGTGCAGTGAATTGTCTGAAATACATATCTTTGCTCACCTGTTAATTATTTTCTTAGGCCGAATTCTTGGAAATGGAATTGGTAAATTCCTAGAAATGAATCACAGACGGTGCAGATTTAAAATTTGATATGTATTGCCAAATTGCTGTCTAGAAGAGTTGTACCAGTGATAATTCCACCAGTAGTGTATGTCTGCCCATTTCTCTGTTCTCCTAGAACTAAGCCTTATCATTTTTCAAAATTTGGACCCAGATGATAACTAAAATGCCTCTAGTCACATTCTAGTTTGAATCAGGTCCATATGTACTGGTGATATTTCTAAGTCTCTTTGTGTGCTACTGATCCTTTAAAAAATTGTGTAAGGTGGCAAGTTCCGTTATTTCCTTTATCTGTAACATGGTTTGGAAAATCCCTGCAACTAATATTTTTTTATAATTAAAATATACAAATTGATCTTTTTTTCTATTAAAAATATGAAAATCTAAAGCTTTGGGTTTCTTGAATGAAAAAATTATACTTATTTAAAGCTGGAAATTCACATTGTGTATGTATATGTATATTCATGTGCATATGGATATATGTGACATATATCTCTTTGTGTTTATCAAATTCATCATACTTTATTGTATTAAAATTTTGATTTGTTCTCCCTGTCATTCCAAATAGATAATTCCTACATGGATAAAGATGAGCATGGTTCATCTTCTGAAAGTGAAGATGAAGCACTGGGTAAATATCACGAGGCCTTGTCCAGAACCCACAATTCCAGACTACCATTGGCAGATTCGAGACAAAAGAACTATGCTTGGGAAACGAGACAAAAATACAGCCCTCTGTCTGCGGAGTATGATGGCTACAGTAGCGAAGCATCGATAGATGAAGGTAACACAGGTTACTTATTTTTTTAGATCACACACTATAGTGTTAGATTATTTGTACCTAAAACTCTAGGCATCTGTGGCTGCACAATAAACAAGAGATAAACAGAGTCACATTTCTGTGAATATAATTTATCAAAATTCAGATCTTTGGACTGAAGCCCCAACCTAAAACACCTAAATAAAAGCAAAACACCAAATAATTTAAATACCGTAGTAATTCTGCTTCTCTTTCCACAATGCAAGCATGAGGTAGAAGATGTGAGTCTGCTGTTCTCTGACGTGGAATCGGTCTCTAAATGCCTGGTATAGGAACTGATGGAGAGTCTAAGTCTCTTATAGTGTTGAACTTGATCCTAGTGTGTAAATGTATGCTTTTTCATTCTGTGTGGCCCCTAAACAGAAGCCAAATACTTCATGTGGCACACAGCCGAAGAAATGGTGATCTGTTCTGCGTAGGGGGAAAAAGTGTCCAGGATGGATTGAGAGCTCGTACTGTGTTATACTTTGCTGTAAGGATGACTTTAGGAATTTTCAAGGATTATTTTGTCTCTAATTGATCTTTGCTTCATGTACTGACATTGGCTTAAAACTCAACTTATATAGAAGATACATGTCCACTCTAACATGTTTTTACATCTTTCTATAAGGGAAATTAATTGCCATTAATTGAAGCATATTTATTTCTACATTTTAGGTACGTTGTTCACATGCTTGATAGAATGTATGAGTATTCCTAGTAATTATTATCTTTATACTCATTTATGAAGAAGAGAGCAGTATATCTTAGACAACAATTTTTTATTACATTAAACACAAGCTATCCTTCATTTTGTAGCTGTGGTTTGTGTTTAAGGGCCTATAACTATTGATTACATAAAGTCTTACCCCAGCACATAGAGTTGTCAAAGGAGCTAAATCATCCTTTTTTTTATTCGGCTTAATACTAGCTAATGACTGATGTACCTCCTTTTTCTTTCTACTAGTACACAATTTATAATAAATTAATCAAATTACTATAGAGAAAGTTCATTATGAGATGGTAGGGAAGAAATAAAAAATATCAGACTCTACCCTCAAAAATACCTTTCTAGTACTAGAGGAAAGAAAGCCCGTGCTTACAAAGAGAACTGAGTGACGCGAAGCGGTGAAGCCTGTCCCCAGCATATATCCACCCCATCCACCCCTGGCACGTGAATAGTAGAGCCTCAAGAGAATGGGTTTTGAACCTGATCCTTGTTTACATTCTGGCTGGGCGACTTAACATATTAGCTACAAACTTCGGGCAGTATAGCTAATGGTTTTTAGGTTTGTTTCATTGTCTCTAAAACGTGGATAATACCTTCCTGACAGGGTTGTCATGAACATTACATGGTATATGTGGTAGTTTGTAGCATAGTTCTGGCCCCTGTGGGTAGGTGACCAGTAAATGGTCATTGTGGTTGCAGGTGGTGCAAACAGTACTGGTGATGAGAGCGAGCAGTCCTGAGCATGGGCTGCATTTGTCATCTGTGACCCGGGACACTTCCCTTTTTGTAGCTCCAGTTGAGGGTTTTGATTTTTTCCTCCTCACTGCTTCGTCCCTCTCACTCCCTACACTTCCGTGCTGTCTTGATTGCTTCCCCACAGTTCTGTTATTCTAGCACGGCTCTGTAGTCTGGGAGAAGAGCAGTGAGGAGAGAAGCATAACCTCAGTGGCTCTTCTGTTCTTGCCCTAAGCTCTGGAACTGGGGCCAATGTCCTGGAGTCACCTTCTCTTTTCATTTTACGTATATCTTTGGGACCCACCTCTACTTTCTTACCATTTCTACTCTACAATAATTGATAAAACACCGAGGGTAGATTGACTTTAGGTGTTCTGAAATTAGATTTATTTCATAAACATTTGTCGAAAGCTTTTTATGTGCCATACTATATACTGTGGATGTAAAGATGAATAAAACAAGCTTGTTTCGAAGAGCCCACAGACTAGAGGAGGAAGACCATTGACTATAGTTTCATGAACAAAGTGCTATAGACATTCAAAGAAGGAGGTGACTCAATTGTTGGGGAGGTGGGGTTATGGGGAGGTCTAATGTAGTCCTCACAGACTAGGTGAACTGGACTTGAGTAAGATCTGTTTCAACAGCCATGGAATCTTGATGGCGTGAAAGCAAATGAGAGTGTATTTTAGTGTCTTTAGCTTAGGATCTGTGTTTGGAGAATAAGTAGGTAATAGGTTTGAATGCCATGTTCAGGACTTCATTGTCTTATAGGAAATATAGAGTACTGGAAGATTTTTTTTTAAGCTGGACAGTGTGGCACTTTTAGAAATGTATTTAAGAAAGATTATTTAACTATTGTAACAGAAAATGAATTGGAGGTGGGACTATTGGAGGTAGAAAGGACCAGTTGGACAAACAGTGATGAGACCTTCATTTGCAGTGAGTTTGGGGACACAGAGTTTGTAGATTTAAGGATGATCTCAGTATATCTTGAATGATTGAATATGTGCAGTGAGTGAAGAATCAGTATTTTTAATTAGTTTAGAGAGGTATTAGAGAAGTAAGTTTATGTGGGAGGAGGTAATTTAATGTCTGAAACATTGGGGTGGAGATGGATATCCTTATTGTTAAAATGCTGTCACTGGGATTTAGGATGGAGAGATGACCAAGTGATAATGTAAGAAAACAATAGACTAGGAGAATAGTTTTGTATCATAGGTTATTGCTTATTGAAAAGTCAAAGTCGCTTTGAGCCCAAAATAAGATTCAGTGGAGTGGGGGAAGAAAGAATTTGATTGGAGGGGGAGATTTCAGAGCCCAAGGTCTTAAGTAAAAGCAATTTCAAGTGATAGTAAATTCTTAACATGCCCCCTCAGAAAGATACAGAAGTACATATGAGATTCTAACCATAGTGTTCACCTTCTCCCTCCAACCCAGCAGTGGTAACCCTCTTCTGGCATATATTTGGGAAGGAAAGGGATTTGGTTCAAATACACATTTGAGTCTCCACCAGGTGGTCATTCCTCTGAGTAGCTAACTCAGCAGAAATACTTGGTGGCTGGTCACCTAAGAGGACTGCTGAGTATAGTTCTCTTGGTAGAATTTGGTTCATTTTCCTGAGGTACAAGTAAAGGGATGGATATAGTAGGTTATGTTTCTCTACTGCTCTGACCTTTTATTCTGCATATTATTCTGCAAGTTTATAGGGATCAAAGTTAACTGAAAGGTGTAGGTTGAGGTAACTAAAGGGAATTACAAGGTAGAGGAAAAATATTCTTAAATGTCCATTTTTTACATGACCATCTGTTACCTCATTAGTGCTGGTAAGGAACCATTAGTTCATTTCTCAACACTGAATAATTCTAGTAGAGAAGCTTTGGAACAGCCAATACTGGAAGTATCTGTGAGATTAGGGAGGGTCAGGGAGGGCCTGGATAGGGCTAGGAGAGAATAGTACAGAACTCTCTGACCAGGTAGTACGAACTACCATATTGAGCTCCTACTGTGTACCTGACTATTACTTTCTGTACACACCATTACTATTTAATCTTCACTGCAAATCATTGTGGTAGGTAAGATTATCCCCATTTTATAGAAGTGAGAAGAGATTTTAGATCAAGTAGGTAATTTTTAACCTAAGGTGACACGGTAAGTTATAAAAACTATTTGTCAGGTCCACTCCAAAACAAATATGGTTTTAGCTTCTGTTGGGTCATCACTACTACTCTGGTATCCAACCAAGGTCTCTTTCATACATGATTAACCTCTTCAGTTGAGTTCTTTAGAACAGTTTATATATATAAATTTGAAATACAGATACTCTAGAAAAAGTAAGAAAATGTGATGGCATATTTGTTATCATGTTTTCTCCTCTAGGTGGCCATATTAATCTTCCATTTTTTTGAATTACAAAAGGGAATGATATCTATAAGAAATTTTTCCAGGAAAAATAAACATTAAAATAATATATCCAGTTTCCTTTGTTCACAGTTTTAATTTTATTTTTACTGTGGTGTTCTTAAAATTGAAGGCATTTTCTGATAATCCTATTGTATTTTTAAAAGGTTTCAGAGTTAAGTAGTAGGCTGCAGATATTTTGTATTTGGTAAGATAGAACCTCTGAAATTCCATTCATGCAAATTAGTACTTTCCATTTCTATATTAGATAGGAGAAGCCTATTAAAGATGATTTTATATATAAAGAACAAATTTAGTGTAAAATTATTAGGATGTCTATTACTTATAGCTTTCCATTCTTAGTTCACCATAGGGATTACCAAGCTATATTTACATATTGTGGCATAGCTATATAACTAAAATCATATGTTGTTATTTCAGGGTGAGTTAATTGAAAATGCTATTTAAAATAATTTCCAGCACCACTTATTTCTTAGGGTTATGTGGCCCAGACATATACACACACCTGTCATTCTCTTTCTTATGGCTACTTCACAAGCTTCAGGCTATTAATTTTGATGTTATCTTAAGATTAGGGGCATTAAAACATATTGACTTGTGCATTTTATTTAAATGTTACTTCTAAAATAATTTAGTGCTTAAGAATAACTAATTATACTTTTTAAATAAATTATGTATACTAAAAAATTATGTAATACGTATGTATATACGTATTATGTATACTTCAAGTGCATTTTGACTGCTTTATAAAGATTATTCTCTTAATTTTCACAATTTGCGAAGAAGGCAAGTACAGAAAAATTCTGTATTTTCCAGATGCCTTTGTCACAAAAATGTTTAGTGTCTTAGAACAGTGAAAGGTTGGTTTGTTCAGATTCTTGGTAAACTTTTTCTTTGATTTCAGGTCTTTATGTTTTTTTTTTTTTTTTCTTCTTTCTCTGAAGAATTTGGGTATATAGCTTTATATATGGCTAGTTGGAAGAGAAATTAATCTTAAAGACTTCTGCATCTTTGTGTTCTGGAGATCTTTTTATGTGATGAGATCAGTCACTCGCAGTCGAGTAGAATCTTTGCGGGCTGCCTGTGACCTGTAAGGTGAGAT